AAATAAACTCCAAATCGCACAAAGTGCATTTTCTATTTAACAAAATTTTCTCTTATGATTCGATTGTTTTCCTCCATATTTTTAAAAATATTTCTAGATTTTAGTATGATTAAATAATTATTAAGTCTTAGTGAAGGCTGTCTAAGCCCAGTGGCTGAGTGATAGTGTGTCTCGCTTCCACGTCACAGGTCCTTGGTTTCAAATACCAGGCTGGGCAAGGTCGACTCAGTCTTTTATCCCTTTAGTCGGTCGATAAATGAGTACCAAGTTTTCTTGGGAACTAAACACTGAGGGTTTCATGTTAGGCTGACCCCCTGACCGGAACATCTGCTCATGTACCTCAGTGCCCAAGGTCGCGAAAACTGAGATAGGCACAGTAGGCCTTGGCCTTCATGGGCTGTTGCGCTATTGAGTTAAGTTGAGTGGAGACGGCCACGCCAAAATGTCTTTGCGGTCCACTGGTCGATCGTGATCGATTTAATGCCCACCTATGTAGCTGAACAGTGCGACGTTAATATTCACTCACTCACTGCTGACATTTTTAATACTTAGAGAGATATAACGCTGCTCTATTATTTCAAATAAGAATCAAATGGCACCAGTGGACTTGATTGGAATGTCCTTAGAATAGAACCATAGGAACCGGTCCTCTTAGTTCAAATTTTTATGATTTTTTTTCTTTTTGGAGATTTAAGAGGCGGCTAGTTATCTGAAAAAAAATTGCATTTCAAGAGAATTCATACGGGTACTCTACTGTCCTCCTTTTTTATTAATAACTGTCACGACCATGTGTCGCCGGACAATGACAGCAAGATGACGTGTGATCAACCACGGGGCAGAAAGAATCTTTGCTGTTAAGCAAGTAAGGGAGAAAAAGAAATTTTGCTTAGTCCTCGTTTGAAAAAAAAAAGAAATCGGTCAATCGATTGAAGTTTAAGGGTTTTGGCAGAACTTATAGCGTTCGGAAAAAAGTTAAGAGGAGATAGAACCCTTTAATTGATATATAAACCAAACCCGACCTCAAAATTTTTTCGGTTGAAATTGCGATTGACCGGGGTCATCTTAAGGTGTGGGCCAACTGGGCCCAGGGCCTCGTCTTCGGTAGGGGCCACGTTTCGTTCTCGACTCAGACTCAATAAGATTATGATCCGAAAAATTTTAATGATTCCCGTACACATTCTCTGAAAAACAGGGTTTTTCAAATTGCATGTCAACTGGCAAATGTAGCAAGACTATTATGATGTAATGATAGTTGTCCATGTATAGGCCTAATACCACAAACAATCATTCAACACATTTAGTTGAAATGTGGCCTTCGATCGAGCTGGTTTGTGCTTAGATTTGTGAGACTGTGAGTCATGCACATTTATTTGTTTCAAACTACCGTTTATATGAGTATTTGATAATGCACGCCGTACGTCTACTTTTGATAAGCACGGGTAAGACCTACTTTTGCATGAGGCCCCAGGGACTCAAAAAATTTTAAGATTTATCTGGGCCCAGGGACTCAAAAGAAGTTCCTGCAACCGGAAGTCCTGTAATAAACATGAATATATTTCTTTCATGGAAAGGGAATAAATTGTTAAAGTTGTAATCGGGTTAATAGTGCTATATGATTCTTATCAAAAATGATGAGCAATCCCTAGAGCTCCCTCTCCTTCAAAATATTTATACTATAAATAAATTTCTTCAGAGTGGAAAGTTCATTTATTAAGGGAAAATGTACAGATATAACTTCCTAATGAAATAAGGATTAATCGCTAGTAAAATAACTGCTATTTTTGTTATTAGAATGTTAGTTGTGATTGCTCTCACTATTGACATGTAAATGAATCTTAGAACCAAATATATGTGCAATTAGGGTTTCTTTCCCGGGAATCGCACGCAGCTTCAATAGTTTGTTGGTAATGCTTGAAAGATTTTTAGAAATAAAGTCAGCAATTTTAAAAGCATTAATTGACATTAAAGAAGAACAAATTATGTCCGTGTAGAGTTTGAAACTTTGTAGCAGGCTTAAAGCAAGTAAAAATTGGCTTAGAGAAATTATGCAGACAAAATGCAACTTTACTAACTGCAGAAAGTGTATTTTCTTTCGTTATTGGAGAACTGAACGAACAAAATTCAGAATTTGCGAAAAATATGAAATATTCTCTAATCCAAAGAATTAATGAGAGACGCAACGTTTATTTAATCCGATTAATGCAATACCTGAATTTTATGTGAAAGTGCGCAGCAGTGGCAGTTACTGTCGATATTTTGTGATTGATAGGTAAAAATTGTTTGATTTGACAAGCCCAATTGAGAGAGATAGGGACAAGATTTTTCTGCGAAGAAGAGGGATCCACATCTAACTCTTTGCTCTCAGAAAAGAGCATGGAGATTTTGAAAGAAAAACCTCTGAGACGTTGGACGAAAAATTAGAGAAAACAATTTACTTTAAAAAAACAAAAGTTTTATATTGTTCAACCAAAAAAAAGTACTAGTTTCAACAAAATCATGAAACAAGAGATGTAGTTGTTCGACTTGACTGATAATCCATCACCAAGCATTACAAAACTATTTGAGGCTTTAAAACAATTCATCCAACGTCAGTTGATGCCGAGAGAGCGTTTTCTGCTGTCGGATTGTTAGTCACAAAGCTTAGATCTAGGTTGAGTGATAAAAATATAAATTTTGCGTATGCTTTCTGAAATCCTATTTTAAAAATGATTAAGGTATCCGACTACGTTCGGAACCGTGATTTTGATAAAGCGTATAAATTGATAATATTTATGATATTCAGTGTCACTTAGATTAGAAACTGTATATAAAATTGTTTTAAGAATAGTATTACAATAAAAAATTATTTAAGTACAATATTTTGACAAAAAATGAACATAGAATGACCCATTTTCAAAATATTCTCCTTTTGTGAAAAATACTTCTATAATAGTAATATTTTACCTGTTTATAGCGCAGACCTCTGTACAGAGGCTCAACTAGAATTTTTGAAATATATAACTTAGAAGTGGGTTTATCTATGTTTTACGACAACAGAGGGAAGAAATTTTAAGAAAAAAAGCCGATAATTTTTTCAATTGGTTGTAACTCTTAAAATCAATGTTCCGAACGTAGTCGGATACCTTAACCAATTTATTATATATTTTTTGTATTTTTTAACTCATTATAATAAGTATTAATTGTGGAATTTATATGTATCCTTATTTTATATAATTGTTATTGATTTTATTTAAAAAATAACTTGTTTTTTTAAATTTTTGAAATTTGATGTATTCCCGAGAATCCCGGGAACGACAATTACATTCCTGAGATTTCCCAGACATTCCCCGGAATGGAAAAACACGGGAAATTAGACACCATGTGTGCAATTAAACATGACAATATTTGTAAAAAAAATCATCGTGTAATATTTTGTTCTTGAAATACTCCTACTATTATTTCCCAAAGATTATTATATCATTTTCAATTTATTCGCTTGTTGACCGGTATACATATAGCACAATTTGAAATCCATTATTTTAGAATATTAAATTTCCTGAATGAATTCTTTGATTTATTTTTAATTGACGTCACACTCTATTGGTGGGGCTATTGAGGGCTATTGGTGACGGATCTCACGATTTTGAACCATGGTTAGTTATAAAAGACACCATCTGTAATATTTCAATCTTCAGACTTCCCCATTCCGTCACGTTGAGGAATATGAATATCAATCACAATGTGACATTATCTGTACTTTACAAATGAAGATCATTCATTATACCCATATCTGCATTCATGATGTTTATAGAGAAGATGTAATATTCTATATTATATCATCCATAGTCAGATAAATCAAATCATCAATAATCATATTTTTGGTTTATTACATAAATTAAAATAATGAGTTATAACTTTAAAAATGCAGGATGGTGCAATAATTTTATAAAGTCAAATTAGTGAATTGTTGCATAAGAAAGAAGTGATGAAAAGATTCATCTTTATTTTTCCTTAAGGTATCCGACTACGTTCGGAACCGTAATTTTAAAGAGTGCATAAATGGATAATTTTCATAAAATTTAGTATCACTCAGATTAGAATACATGCATAAAATTGTTTTAAGGACATTTTGACAAAAAAAATTTATTTTAATATAATATTTTGGCAAAAAATTAACTTAGAATAATCTTTTTTCCAAATGTTCTCCTTTTGTAAAAAATGGCTCTATTATAATAATATTTTGCCTGTATATAGCTCAGACCTCTGTACAGAGGCTCAACTAGAATTTTTGAAAAATTCATATTATTTTCTGAGTTACCACCCATTGAAGTAATTATTCACGTATTTTTCTTAAAATTGCTCCCTTCTGTTATCGTAAAATATGAATAAACCCACTTCTAAGTTATATATTTCAAAAAATCTATTTGAACCTCTGAACAGAGGTCTGAGCTATATACAGGCAAAATATTATTCTAATAGAAGCACTTTTCACAAAAGGAGAACATTTGGAAAAAAGATTATTCTAAGTTAATTTTTTGCCAAAATATTGTATTTAAATAACTTTTTTTGTCAAAATGTCCTTAAAACACTTTTATGCATATATTTTAATCTAAGTGACACTAAATATCATGAAAATTATCCATTTATGCGCTTTTGCAAATCACGGTTCCGAACGTAGTCGGATACCTTAAGTGCGAAGGTTTTTCTTTTCCTACTATTAATTAACTCTTTCCCTATATATATATATATATATATATATATATATATATATATATATATATATATATATATATATATATATATATATATTGTTCAAATTTTCAATCTCTAATAAAATACTTTCTATTCATTCATTCAAGTTCAAATACATTTTTTTAAACTTGTAGTGGATGACACTTGATGTTGATACAGTTTTTTCAAATATTAATTCATTAATTAAATTAAAAGAGGAATAAATAGTAACAAACAAAAATAATCGTCCAACTGCATATACAGAAAGTAAAACCGTTCGTTGTATCCCTGGGCGCAATGGATAGCGTGTTGGATTTTTAATCAAAAGCTCGTGGGTTCCATTTCTACCAGGAATAGCCTAATTTCAGAGGATGTGATTTCATTTTTACTATACTATTTTATTAGAACAATTAATTTCAATTTATAAATAAATAGTAACAAAAAAATTAGTCCAACACCTTATATATAAAGGAAAGTGGAAAATTGCTAGGAAAATCGCTTACTATTTTGTCACTTAAATGTGTTTCTGTCATACGTATTTACATATTTATACAAATTGTAATTATTTAATAAATGTAACTAAAATAAGAAATTTTTTTGAGCAAAGTAGGAATTGACTTAATTTTTTTGTATTATTTTTTTGTTTTAAAATTAATATGTATAGTTGTGTCTAGGAGAGAGAGTTGCATTTTTTATCACGAAAAGCAGTAAAAATATTAATTCTTTCTTTTCTCATTTGTCCAGAGAATTTTTAAAATTATAATTTGCTTAGGAGCTTTTTGCTGAAGAGTTAATTTAAATTAAGCGTCAGAGAGAGAGAGAGAGAGAGAGATTCAGTTCAGTTCGGGTTTAATAGTGATCGGGTTGGCGACGCTCTCTTGGTTTTGAATTTAAAACTTTTTAAGGTGCATGTTTTTTTAAGTAAAATTTTCATGCAAACTCTTTCTTAAGAGGTTTTATTTCTTTATTTAAGTATTACTGTCATGCAGCCCACTTCCACTCAACTCCAACGAGTGAACGAGAGAAGAGAAGAGCAAGCGAAAATAATTGAAAAAACAAGTAATATAAAAAAAATTAACTCAATCCTACTTACATCAACAAAGAAAAATTTTATTTTAGTTACTTTTTGTCAAATAATTACAATTAATATAAATATGTATATACATAGGACAGAATCACAACATTAAGTGGTAACTAATTTTTATCAATTATCATTAAAGTATCGTATTGTCATCCAAAACAATCGTGTATATAAAGTTTCAGTTTAATTGAATGCTTTAAAACGTGAGAAAAAAAAACCTTTTCAAGTTTTGACACAAGTCGCCAAAAGGGTCGCTAAGTCGACAAAAATGATGCCAACGTGGCTGTAATTGTAATTCTTTAAATAATGAGTTTTAATCAATTCATTTTTATTAATTATAATTAAATTACTGTATAGTTATCCAAAATAATCATGTATATAAAATTTCAGCTCAATTAAGCGCTTTGTAATGTATTTTATTAACGATTGAAAACTCCACCAATATCAATAAATAAATATATAGAGAGTGTGAGCTATATATATATATAATAGTAAGAATTGAAAAAAGATTATTCTCATGTTGTATCTTATGAGAGATCGTAAGCGGGACTCTGGGAATTATTATAAGAATATTTTAAAGTTTATTCTCAATCTGTCAATCCCCATCGAGAACTAGAGGTCTTAGTGGATTATCTAATAAAAATGAATGTGTTTGATTTTTCTGTTGCAAATTGTTTATGATCAATAAAGTTTAAAAATGTTACAAAAGTTTACTGGCTAGCCGTATTAGAAGAAATCGTCGAAACAGTAGACGAATCTTTTAAAATCTCGTCGAACTAAAAGAAATACTTTTGTATTTCTCAGAATTTGTAAAATATAAGTAATTTGTCTTGGATTTCCCTGAGACCACAGTTGTTCAACGAAGACGAGTTGCATAGCTTGCGTTTGTAGCAACAAACGGAATGTGTTTAATTCAATGTATTATGATGTTGAAAATATTCCTTCATTAGATAAATTCCTTTAAGTTGTACAAATAACGGTACGCCCCTGTGCCAATAAGGAACAAAACATGGGATTTATTTTTTGATTAAGCAGAAAGAGCACTTAAGCCCAAAAATGTGCCAAAACAGTTAAAATCTGAAATTTCAATCTATATTGGCGATGACAACAAAGAGATTACAAGATAATAAAAGCATAATTTTGAAAGAGCCCGCACCCTCTCCCTTTGTTTGCTTGGAGAATTTTAAGAAATGTAAACAGCTCTCAGGGCATAAGTTTTTTAACCTTACATAATATAAGGCGTTATATAAGTTATATAAACATATATGCTACATAAATATAATCTGCATAAGTAATTTACATATAAATGCTTTTAAATAGTTAGACTAATTGATATTTGAATGGTATATACTCATATATATAAATATAAAAGAATGCAAAATTATTTAAACATTGTCTGTACAGATAATGGATGAAACAAACAAACCCACCGATAAATGGGCATGAAGAAGAGAACAGCTTAACGCCGCATTCGAAAATGTCATAAAAGAGAACGAAGTACACCCGAACAATTGGATACTCTTGCCCATAATAAATCAGAAGTTTTCACTTGTATCGTGTAGTAGCAAGCACACACACACGCAGATTGTGACGAATCTATACGCGTCCTCTCACTAATCCTCTTGGGGAATCCTTCGGTTAGCATTCGAGTTTAATTCACAGCCATCCCTCTCAAGAAGAAACCGTGATATTCAGATTAGTTCGACTATATAAAGTCAGAGTTTTGTAATTCTAGGAGACGGAGGTAGGAAGTAGCTACACACACATTCGCTATGCAGGTGAGATCGAATAAGGTTTACTTTCTTATACAAAGATTAAGTGTGGTGTTTCGCCACTGTGTTGAATTAGTAGATATGAGGTTAGGAATCAACAACAGAGAGATTAGATTGAGCTAAATAAGTTGGTCCCGCATATTTGCTTAAATAATCATTGCTTTCTCCGTGCTACTCCTTCGACATTCACTTAGAGAATAGATTGTTGTTGGTTAAGTTGTTTGACTAAATAAATAATTGGTAGGCAAGACGGTGAGAGAGAAACCTCGGGTGCAAGTTGCTCACAAATTTTTTTTAATGACTATTATTTATGTGTGTGAATGCAATCTGGTAAAAAAAAGATTATTCAAACTTTTAAAGTATATTTTTTCCCTCATAAAATATAGTTATTATATTTGTCAATTGTACTATGATACAAGTTTTCAAACGAAGTTTTTGTTCGATTCACGTCCTATTCGAACAATTCCCTTTTTAAAAAAAAGTTGTTCGAGCTTTGATTCAATGGAAGCCCTGTAATAAAACGTAACATTACATAACAAATTCAAATGAATCCGGATTAGGTCGTTAACAAACTATAATCAGAACTCTCGACAAGCAACAAGACTCAACCCGACAACTAATTATCCAGCAGTATTGTGAATCCTGATAAGCCTAATGTGGGTAGAACAAAGCGTCATCCATCTTCGAGTCAACCGTTGCCAGAGCCGGAAGTGTAAGATCATTTCACCTGGCCGGGGGGGAAATGATCGGTCGGCATTACACAAACCACCAGTGCTCGATGGAATAGTGTAACTGTGACCGGGATCAGTGCTCAAAGAGATCAACGAGACACCGGATGAGGAAGAACCCTAATGGTCGCAGCTTTTGTTTTGGACCAATGGGAGTACAGAAGTCGACGCTATATAGTGAAATCATTAGTCATTCCAATCACAATTGGTCGAGATAAAACGAAACAAAACGCATTAGTTTGCTGAATTCTGAACTGTCAGGCGGCGATCGAAATGTTCTTACCATGGAACAAATTGCCAAAAAGCCGTGAAGTTTTAATTCATGAAATTTAATTAATAGCTGTCTGAATAGGCTTCACTGTAAAAAAAATAGGTGAGATAAAATAACTTTTTTTAAAGAATACAACATAAATCAAAAGAGTTAGAGAGTTGTTATAATAATAATGTGATAGCTTCTAAGCTTTCAAATGCGTGGTCAATCATTTGTCTTAATACATTTTTTCATTAATGTTAAATAATCAATGGTATTTCATGATTTGGCTTCTTTAAGGTCAAAATTCGTGTACAAAAATGCATATTTTTTTAATTAAGAAATAGGTTACATTTTTTGGCATAAATGGGTAAGTCTAAAAATGTTGCAGAAGTACGAATCTGCTGGTTCTTTTTTTTTTTTTTAAATATTAATAAATTTGCAATATTAACATCAATTCACTTTACATTTACTAGGCCTAACTACCTCTTCTTTAAAAAGCGTTGCAGACCAAGAATACCAACATCAAGACTTTTGCCAATTTGGCAAAACTAAAAAATGCCGCGAAAGAAATTGTTTCAGGTTTACGAAGTTTAAAAATTAACAGTTAACCCTGCTGTTCTGTTCGTATTTACTACACGTATGTAGTGTTCGGGTCAATATGACCCTATTCAGAAAACTGACATTTCTTACTGTAAATGACAGGTGCCCTTTAAGAAATGGTTGAAACAATAGTAATACAAGTTTATATATATAAAAATAGAAACCTAATAATATAAAGCATGTATAAAAATAACAGAAAAATGTATTTGAAATTTATATTACAATAACAATTTATATAAAAATAACGAAAAAATATTCGACGTTAGAACTTACTTTCAATTACAATTTGAACAGTATTATCTCACATGAGTTTTGCAAATGTAATTCTTACACTTGTAGCATAACATATTAGTTCTGTTGTCATTGCTAGATTGTCAAAGCTTGTACCTTGCACGTTTGACACACAAGGAAATAATCCCAGCAGATCCCGATGGTACGCTTTTTCTTTTTCGCTGTATTCGTTTCATTATTTTTATTGAGTCCTCACTTCTTGGTAGGTTTGGCCTTGCTTCAGTGTATGGAAAAATGAATGATATTCCCAGTTCTTCCAAAAATAGCTTTCGTTTAGTCAATTTTTTTTCGTTCCAATCATTATGTATTGAAGTCCATAGAATAAATAGATGTATGTATCGATGTATCAAGCATGTTATAGAATACTATCATGGACTAATGATTTGTTTTTCTTTTACAAGTGTATGTGTTTAGAAGTTGATAAATAGTATCTACAGCCCCTTTAGTTGAATTATAATCTAAGATCATTAATAGTTTTTTGTCAGGTCTGTTGCTAACTTCTTTGTCACAATGCAAAGTTCTCATAAGAATAACATTCTTGTTCTTGTTTGGGATGTAGTTTACAACTGATGTGTCTTCTTTGGCTTGTGTCTGTGAGCTTCTTTATTTGACGTTTCTTCAGGAAGTTCTG